TCCTTCCTTCCTTCCTTCCTTCCTTCCTTCCTTCCTTCCTTCCTTCCCCTCTCTCCTCCCTCCCTCCTCTCTATATCACCTCCCTCCCTCATTTCTTCCCTGGGGTGGAATCTCCAGCTAGACTGGAGGCAGATGTGAAGGGCTGGGCGGGTGGGGGGAGGACTCGTGCTTAGAGAGGCCTTGCCCCGCAGTAGGAAGCCCGGCCCGGGCCTCTTCCCGAAGCCGCCTCTGGCCCTTCCTCACGGGAACGCTGCCTGCCGGACTCGACTCTTCCGGACAGGGGCTGGTCTCCTGCACCTGAGCGAAGGCCCGCTGGAGGAAAGCCGTTTGCCTCGTCCCGTGTGACTCCTTTCGCCTTCCCACTTCCCAGGTGGCCAAATCCAACTGGCAGACCCAGACGTTGAACGACTACCTGAAGAAGCTCGTCCAGAGGATCGATGCCTGCGCCCACCCGAACGTGGACAAGGAAGTAAGGTCCAAGTTGGGTGTTCGACTCCTAGGCCAGCGCAGGTCGTCCTCGACTTGAAGGCCGCCCCCAAGCCCAGAATTTCCATGGCTAAGCGGAGCTCATTGGTTTAACGCTCTTGCCGCCGTTGTTCAGGGAATCCTTGCCATTGTTAAAGGCTTCCCCTTTGACTTCACTCACCAGGCTGTCACAAAAGGGGATCACATGCCCCCCCCCCTGGGGTCACTATGGCCATTGTAGATACGAGCCAGTGGCCAAGCATGTGAATTTGGATTGCGGGAAGGCCCCAAGTTGCATCGTTAAGTGTGAAAAGCAGACACGGGTCCCGTTTTTGTCCCCCGGCACCGTTGTAACTCGGAACAGTCGCTGAATGAACTGTTGTAAGCTCCTGAATGAACCATTATAAGTCAAGGACTACCTCTTATTTTAAATCTCCCGTCCTGTTTTTTTTTGCTTAGCGGTTTTTTGAGCGTGCTTTAATTTTATCTTTAATTTTATTTCTTCTTCTTCTATTCCTTCCCTCAGAGCATCACTCCAGAAAAGCTTTATGAGTTCACCAAGTCCGTCATGGAAGAACTGAAGAAGAGATGTAAATATCTCAACTGTCAGCTCCGGATCCAGGTAAGAAGAAGAATTCCACCGGGAATGGGGTTCACCTGGTCGCTATTTTTTTTTGTTTCCAGACCAAGAGCTGACTTTGGGGGAGTATCTGGGGTGGGGGGGCTGTGGGGGGGGAGGGGTCATACTCCAAATCATAGGCATGGCCAAGACAGGACAGTCTTCGTGTGGCTGAAAACAGAACAGGAAAAAAAACACCGGTAGCAGGGGTGGCTTGGTGGGCGTGGCAGGCCAGGATTCGCTTAACAACGGGGTCGAGAATGGGGCCGAACTCACGGAACCCATGTCGCACTTACCGACAGGAGCGGTTGGGGTCGTAAGCCGAGGACCACCCGCACGCCTCCCGGCCTTGTGGCTCCTACATTCTCCTCTCTTAGGAACAGGAGATCACTTTCCTGCCGGTGGTTATCGCCGAGGACTCCGTCGTGAGCTCCGCCCCATCGGATGTGTCCCTCCCGGAGAGCCGGGTCATCGTGATGGGCATGGACTACACGCCTGTCCTGAATCCGAGCAGAATGGGGAAACCGGCCTTCGATGACGCGTCCTTCGGCCTCATCCGAAACCTCACCGGGTAAGCGTCCAAGAAACGCCTCCGGGGGAAAAACCACAGGGACTAGGAAGCTGCTCACGGGGTCTTTGGAGTACGCCCCAGCCCTTGGCTTAATAGGGACCGACGTTAGAACAGCGCCGAGGAAAGGGGCTTCTCTACGCATACTGACACGGTTACGCGATCGGGATTGGGATGCTTGTCAACTGGCTCAGTTTATGACGGTCGCGGTGTCCCAGGGTCACTTATTGCCCCCTTCTGAGAAGCAAAGTCAATGCGGGAAGCCAACACTCAACAACAGCGTGACCAGCACCAGCATTTAGACTTATGTACCGCTTCAAGGTGCTTTCACAGCCCTCCCTAAGCGGTTGACAGAGTCAGCCTCTGGCCCCCAACAATCTGGGTCCTCGTTTGACCCGCCTCGGAAGGCGGGAATGAACAACTGCCATTATTCACTTAAGAACTGTGGCAAAGGTTATAACTTAACTGAATATTGGGCTCAATGGCAGTCGTAGGTTGAGGACTATCTGTATATCCAAATCAGTGGTCTCCAAAGCACAAGGGAGCCAACACAACCAGACAATCTTTGGCTTTTAAAAGCTTATCAAGCGAATGGCAGCTTATCTGACGCGAGAGAAGGCCCCGTTGTCTTCAGGCTCAGAGCCAGTAAAATTGAAAGCTGCCCTCCCCTAAGTGGGACTCTCTGCCTCGTTCAACACTTCCGGGGGCTGATTTGGGGAGCGATGACATTTTCCTCCGTTCCCTTCGTTCCAGGTTTGTGCGTGGGAAAAAGATGATAGAGGCTCAGCATGAAAGGGACCTCGCAGGACTGCCTGGGACAGACCGAGGAGGTGAGGAACAGTCCTTCGATGCAGGCCAAGGCCGCGTGGCTTAGCTGCCAAAATGCTAGCTTTGTTGACCAGAAAGTTGGCCGTTCGAGACTCCAGCACCGTGTGATGGTATGAGCTCCCATTCCTGCCTCAGTCCCTAGCGGTTCAAAAGCAGGCAGATGCGAGTAGATAAATCGGTACCACTTCACCGGGGAGGTAACATCGTTCCCTGCACCTCGGCATTACAGTCACGCCGGCCACATGACCACGGAAGCATCTTCAGACAACGGCGGGCTGCCTCGGCCCAAAAAACAGACACGGGCACCTCCCCTGGAGTAGGATGCTGGTTGAAAACCTTTTTAAGGGCAGGGAACTTCTGACTTGACAGACGTGGTAAAAATTCAGGTTCCAACCGGCGTGGCCGCCAAGAGGAAACGTGGAACGTTAAATAGAGAAGTCCAACCAAGAAACGGGGTCCTTCCGTGGTTGGAAAAGACGGGCAAACGTTGCCTGAGATCCCCTCCCCTCGTGGCCAGACCACCCTCTCTGTTGGGTCACCTGGAAATCCCCAGCAACCACATCTCGGATCGGTGCTTTGCCGATCCCTCGCTTCGTCCCATCTTTTCCTCTCTTATTTTTTCCAGAGATTCCCAACCCAGCTTTCCCGTCCTTGTTCAGTGGGGGCGGCCACCGTGAAAGCCTTTCCTTGGGAGCAGCCTATTTGCTGTCCAAGAAATCTAGTTCCATCACCAAGGCCTCGGGAAGGTAAGAGTCCCCACTTGGATGAAGTAAACTAGGGGTGTCTAATCCGCCCAAGAGAAGGATTAAATGGCCTTCTTCTCAATGCAGCGGGAACTCCATCCAAAAATACACCAGGCTTACTAAAGCCGACAGGAAGTTGCTGATTTTCGGAGGCCAGCCAAAAGAGACAGAGTGAGTCCTGTTGGAATCTGATTCGGAGGGAGCGGTAGAACAGTTGACACGGAGTGGGAGTGTGGCTCTGGTGGCTGTGGAGGAAACTGGGGAAGGGCACAGTCCGGCTGAGCACTCAGAGGAAGACCCAGGTCCACCCTCTCTTCATCCTAGGGCACGCAGGGAGGAACAGAGAAGGGAGCAACGTGGGTTACGGGGGAGAAAAGGGCCCTGATCCCCTTCATTAGCTGCAGCTTGGAAAACAGGATAAAAAGGACGTTTGCGTACAGCGCATTGCTGGAAGCAAAACATGCATTATTTTTGTTTGTCACGTCTTATCTGGGTTCTGGCGTCCTCCCAACTGGGTGTGTTTTGTTATTTTTTTTTTTTTGAAGTCTGCGATTCCTTATTATTATTCTTCCTTATTTTTTGAAGTCTGCGATTCCTTATTATTTTAAGTGTTCTTATTTTGGCTACTTTTTTCCGATAAAAAGAAAATTGCAACCATAAGATCAGAGTGAAGTAATCCCTCCTTTTAATTTTGGTCGTTCTAGTCCGGATTACTTTACCGGCATCGTCTTCAGCATCCTGTGGGACAATTTTGATAACATCATGAACGTCGCTGAGGTAGGAGCTTAATTTTAAAAATATATTCACACACACACACACACACACACACACACACACACACACATATATAAATCCACTTTGTCACTCTGGACCATATGCAGAATTGTAAAACATGGGGGGAAACACAAGGGACTTGTGTATTGTGAGGCTGCAGAAAGCCATAAGATACGTGAAAGCTGATTGAGTCTAGTGGTGAAGATTACGGGCCGGAAACCAGGAGACCACGAGTTCTAGTCCTGCCTTATGCATGAAAGCCAATTGGGTGACTCCTCTCTCTCTCTCTCTCTCTCTCTCTCTCTCTCTCTCTCAGCCCAGTCCACCTCACAGGGCTGTTGTGTGGAAAATAGGAAGAGCAAGGGATCTATGGGGGTGTGTTTGCTTGCCTTGAGTTATTTCTAAAAATAATAATTGGCGGGATACAAATGCATTTTTTTTTAATATGCAGGTGGCGATTCCTTTTGCATTCCTCTTGTTCTTCCTGAGCAACCCCAAACCAGCCTTCTCTAACCCATAATAGTGCTCTCCCTGGTTTTTCCTTCCTGCTTCCTTCTCCCTTCTCCTTTTCCTGAAGGAATTCTACAAAAAGGACAAGCATCAGATTACGAAACCGGACTGTCTGCAGGAAACCTACGACCTGTGCATCGATGCTTTAGGCCAGAAGATGCTGACCTACCTTTTCCAATCCGACGAGTACCACATCGCTTGCATCTCTGGTAAGGCTGCAACGTCGTCGATAAAGGGTGGGGGTTAGCTGTCCCAGGGAAGGACGGCATATAAATTGAGAGGGGGGAGAGAGGGGAGAGGGAGGGAGAATATAGAGATAGGTGATGGATGGATGGATGGATGGATGGGCAGATAGATAGATAGATAGATAGATAGATAGATAGATAGATAGATAGATAGATAGATGAGAGATAGATAGATAGATAGATAGATAGATAGATAGATAGATAGATAGATATCAATATAGAGATGATAGATAGAGGATATAGATAGTCAGACATGGATGGATGGATGGCACTTAGCAACTGGCATGTACTTATGACAGTTGCAGTGTCCCAGGTCACATCATCTCCTCTTGTGACCTTCTGACAAGCAGGAAGCCACATTCACTTACTAATATTAACCACGCTACTGAGTCACGTAAAAAAACGTGGCAAGAAAGGTCGTAAAACGAGGCAGAACTCACTTAACAACTGTCCCGCTCAGCAACGGAAGTTCATAACTCAATTGTGGTCGCAAGTTGAGGGCCACCTGTATATTCCACCTGGTAATATAAAAGGCCAATAAAGGCCAGTCTCAAAACGAAAATCCAATTTATTTATTTATTTATTTCAGGCTGCCCAACCCTGAATTCCACCCGAGAACTGACTTTCCATCCCATAAAATTTTCCAGAGTTCCGGGTTCAGCTGAAGACCTTTGAGGAAGAGCTGCCTCGGGTCGTCTGTCTGGCCATCGGCAAAATCCTCAAGGACCACGAACAGTTCCTTGCCGAATCCACGGAACAGATCCGGGGTCACCTGCAGGACCAGCTGAAAAAATGGACCGCTATCAAAGTAAGCGGTTTTAAAGGCCCCCAAAGTGTTTCAAGCTTAAATGTTCCACCTTTCTCGCTGCTGGCCACAAAGAGCCAGTCTGGTCTCGTGTCGAAGTCATAGGCTAGAAACCAGGTGACCGTGAGTTCCAGTCCCCCCTCAAGCGAGGAAGCTGCTTGGGTGATTCTGGGCCAACTGCCAGGAGACGGTGAGTTCTAGTCCTGCTTTTGGCCTGAAAGCTGGTTGGGTGACTTTGAGACGATCCCCAAGAAATGGTGACTTCTAGTCCGTACGAAAGCCAGCTGGGTTCACTTTGGGCCAATCCCCAGGAGACGGTGAGTTCTAGTCCTACCTTAGGCCTTGAAACCCTGGCCGGGTGACTTTGGGCCAATCCATCTCTCTGTTCCCAACCCACCTCACAGGGTTGTGGTTGTTGTGGGGGGAAATTAACTGTGCCTGGTGGCCGCCCGAGCAAGACTTGCCCTTTCAATTCAAGGACAAGAACATGGCCCAATTGCACACCAGTTTGGGGCACCCAGACAATATCCCGGTGCTGGAAGCCTTGTGCCAAGAGGAAGAGAAAAGGCAGGAGGAGCAAGTGGAGAGCATCCTCATCTGCACCAGGAAGCTGGAGGTACCCGGAGTTTCCTTTTTTATGTCCCCCTCAGAGCCCCACGTTTATCAAGGGTCGGTAGTCAGCGGGGTTACCAGAAGGCCGAGGAAGCGTCTGCAGCGGGAACCATCGAGCCCAGGCAGCTCGAAGTTACCCGAGTCACGGTGGGAGCCACCAAAGGAACCATCCCTGATTTAATGAGCCATTCCTCCTCCTCCTCTCCCTCCACTCCCTCCTCCTTCACACGCCCCACTGCCTTCTAACACTGATGTCATTATCTAGTTCGGTAATGAAATGTCTGTAAGGAAAACAGTTGAGCTCAGAGAGCAGAAAAGACTCCACAGTGTCTATCTGTCCATCCGTCTATGCCTGCCTGCCTGCCTGCCTCTATCTCCCCATGTACCTACCTACCTACCTACGTATCTATATCCTATCTATCTATCTATCTATCTATCCATCCATCTAATCTATCTATCTAATCTATCTATCTATCTATCATTTCTATCTATCTATCTATCTATCTATCTATCTATCTATCTATCTATCTATCTATCTATCTATCTATTCTATCTATTCTATCTATCAATCACCTCTCTTTATATCTATATCTATATCTATATCTATCATCTATCTATCTATCTATTCTATCATCTCTCTATCTATAGCTATCTATGATGATGTTACCTAGTTCGGGTAATGAAATGCCTGCAAGGAAACAGCCAAGCTCAAAGAAGCACCAGGGGGCCCACAAAACAAGGTGCCTTTCTAGGAAGGGGTCAAACTTGAACTGAGGTTCTCTCTCCCCCACCGCCCCACCCACCTCCCACCTCCCAATTCAGTCACAGCCCCATCAGCAGGCAGGGATCCTAATCTTGAGCTACGTAGCCTTTCCCTGAGTCTGTGTAGGCCCGGAGGCCCCGAGCCCCCCTAGGAACCTGCTCTCTTTCGCGGGCCAGGCTCCCCCGCTCTCCTGATGGTGACCCCCCCGCTTCCCCCGCCCCCAGGTCTGCGTCACCGAGTGCGCCCAAAGGTTCGTCTCTACCTTGGCCGCTTGCACCGAGACCATCCTGATGGAGCTGGACAACAGCCTCACCATTGATGATGTCCAAGTAGGAAGTAAGTCATCACCCAGTGGGGACACCCCCCTCAATTCCCCACGCACGCCCCGGTTTTGCCCGAAGAAGCGAAACCGATCTCACCCCACCCCATGTTCCTTTAGCGTCATTGTTCCTAGCGGTTAGTCCCCCCCTGACAAGCGGGAGGGAAAGAGAATTTATACCGCGAGTCCTCAGCTCACGAGCCCGACCCTTCTGCGGCTAAGCGAGGTGTTCAGTGAGTTTTTATGCCCCGTTTTTACGCCTATTTATTGTTAAGTGAATCCTGGCCGTTCTTAATTTAGCAACGGGGCTTTATAAGTTGAGCCTGGCTTCCCCATCGAGGGGGCTTGTCAGAAGGCCACAACAACGGGGTCCGCAGCACGGGGATGTTGCAAGTGGTCCCAAGTCGCTTTTTTTCCAGCGCCTTTCTAACTTTGGGCGGTCACTAAACGAAATGTCGTAAGTGGAGGACCTCCTGTATTGTCCAGTCAGCCCCTGTTCTCCAAAGAGGGCTTGGTTACCCCCTTCCTGTGAAAAATTTGAAGGCATATTAGGGTTGGTGCTACCAAGAACCAAGATGAACAGGTAATCAGAGTTGGAAGCAACCTTGTAGGTGACCCTAAATACGAACCCGGTCATAAATATGAAGCTCTTTTGCTGAGCATCTGGATTTTTGATCCCATGACCTCAGGGGTCCATACATGTGAAAAGCCGTCGTGTCGTGCGTCATTCTTTTTTTTTTACAGGGCCGCCCCGAACGAACCGTTGCAGGTCGAGGACTCCCTGGGATAACTTACTGGGTCGTTGCAAATGAGGGGATAAATCCCCTCCCCAAAAATGCCTCTTTCTCACCCCGAGTTCTGTTTTTTGCCAGAGACGGAAAAAGTCCGGGAGAAAACCATCACGCTGATCCGTCGTAAAAAGGCCGGACTCTCCTTAGAAGTGGAAGAACAGAAACTGGTGGCGGAGCGAGGCAGCAGGTGAGGTATCGCTGCCCTCTTTCGGGGGGTGGGTGCCCCCCGCCCTCCCCCACACGGGACCGAGACCTTCGCTGACAAAAACCATCCCTACTACAAGGTAGTCCTCGACTTAACGACCCCAAATCCCAACCCCAAATTTCCATTGCTGGGCCAGACAGTCGTTAAGTGAGTTCTAACCGCCAAGGGTCCTGATTTTGATCCCCTGACCACAGGGGTGGTTGCAATGGTCGTTAAGTGGGAAAAGTAGTCCCAAGTCGCTTTTTTTTCCAGCGCCGTTCTAACTTTGGGCGGTCACTGAACGAAATGTCGTAAGTGGAGGTCTACCTGTATTGTCCAGTCAGCCCCTGTTCTCCAAAGAGGGCTGGTTGCCCCTTTTCTGTGAAAATTTGAAGGCGTATTAGGATGGTGCTACCAAGAACCAAGAGAGAGATGAACAGATAACAGATAATCAGAGCTGGAAGGGACCTTGTAGGTCATCTAGTCCAACCCCACCCACCCAAGCAGGAGACCCTGCACCATTTCTGACAAATGGCAGTCCAATCTCTTCTTGAAGGTCTCAACTGATGGTGCTCCCACAACTTCCCAGGGCAACTTCAGTTCCATGGGTTGATTGTTCTCCCTGTCAGAAAATTCCTCCTTATTTCCAGCTTAAATCTCTCCTTGTTCATCAGATTAAACCTACAACAGGCTTGCTAAAAAAAACCCACCCAGACCTTATTTATTCCTTCGGGAAGATCTCCACCCCACCGATCTTCTCTCTGGGCTGTTCCTTTGCCTTTTGCAGAACCTGGCCTGGCATCCCGCAAACCACCAACCCGAGTCTCCCGGATCGGATTATCTTTCCGGAAACGGCGTCCGTGACCACAGCCAAAACCACGCTGGGCCACGTCGCTGCGGTGGAAGAGAGAGACGCCGTTTACACGGTAAAGCAGTTGGACTTGTAAGGGCTCTCCTGGAATGACGGAGAATTTGGTGGGAAGAGAGACTCTTTTTTTTAGGCCCAAAGTTAGCAAGTCTGGGAGGAGCAAATATCTTCCCCCCCACCCCCCCATCCCTGTCACCCACCCACGTTTAGACAGGGTTGCTTCCCAGCTCCTAGGGCCAGGGGTGGGCTTCAGCCGGTCCGCGCCCGTTTGAGCAAACCGGATGTTAATTTTATATCCTCTCCTGCCCGTCCCAGTAGTCCCCAGGTGGACCTGTTTGGTATCCCAGGTAAGGGCAGGGGACACATGGAGCCCAGGCAGGTGGAAAACGGGCCACTTTCACTGCCATGATGGTGCAGGAGGCCAAAGAGGCCACACCCACCACGCCCACACCCACCCAGCGACCGGGCAGAGAAGCGGTTGTTAAATTATTTGAAGCCCACCCCGGCCTAGGGTGGCTAGTGGGGATGGGTTGTATGACTCATCTTATTTATTTAAGCAACATCTCTGCCTCTTCTTCAGTTCAGAAGGTCTTTGGGCAGTTAATCTAATAATATGTGTCGGAACAGAAGCTGCCCCAGCCAAGCTTGGCTAAGGGAAGAACTCCCCAGAGGTCGTGTTCCTCTTCCTTCCTCGGATATAACAAATATTAAAAGACAACCTTCTACTAATACGAAGAAAATTGGCAAAATCTTGGTAGAGGTGGGAGAAAGGAGGAGGAGAACTGCGGGGTCCTTGGCGCCGTCTGAGTTGGGCGGTTTCCTTGCAGGAATTTCATGACCCAACTAGGCAACACCATCAGTAGGAGTAGGCTTTGCTCTCTGTTTACGTACAGTTACTTGTCTCGTCAGCGTCGGTGGCAAGAATAAGCTTAAGTTTCCTGATTGGGGTTCACTTTGTTTTTATTTTGCGTTTAAATCACCTCTTGGTCACTCTAAATGCCAAACGGCCCCGGATGACTTATTTTTTCTACTCTTCGGCTTTCGTAGAAATTCAAGGAAACGCTGAAGATGGAATTTGCCCGGATTCAGGAGGAAAACACAGCCCACCTGATGAAAACCCAACACTGGGCCCATTGGTGGAAGAAGTCTGTGCAAAAAATCAAACAACTCTACTATTCGTGAACCAGTTTAATTTCCCCCTCTCTCCCCCTTCTCCTCATTTGTGCAATATCGGTGTGTCCTTTAGAGCTGTCGGAAAAGAAAAACGTTAGCCCGAAAAATAAAACCGCTGCTATTTTTGCATATCTTGGCGCCTTCCAAAAGAACGGATTTATCAGCGTTCCTCAAACTTATGAATTTTAAGGCTTCACCTCCCACAATTCCTCCCCCGGCATCTAATTAGCAATACTTCATTAAGACACTGTCCCATTTTGTATCAGTGGTTAAGTGAATTTCGCCCCATTTTACAACCAACCTTACATCGCAGCGGTTACGTGAATCGTGGTAGCTGTTAAGTTAGTCAGACGATTAAGTGAAATTTTAACCGCGTTGGATGAACTTTCCTGCCAAAGTTGTTAACCTGACTCAGGCGGTTACGTTCGTTCGTTAGGCCCACGGTGGTTGAGCGAATCCGGCCACCCCGTTGGCTTTGCTTGTCAAGAGGTCACAAAAACGGGACACCACGGTCGTCATAATTGTGAGACAGTTGCCAATTTTGATCACTTGACCGCGGGGATCGTTAAGTGTGAAAAATGGTCATAAGTCATTCACATTCGAACAGTACTTAGTAACACTTAATTATAACACTCTCTCTATTTTGTTATTTTCCAAGTATCATTTTTCTCCAGCTCTGTGCAAATTGTCAAATTGACTCCATCAAACCTTTTGTGTTTCTCTGCTAAATATGGAAGTGATTCTCCCCACCAAGAGAGAAAGCAAAATAAAGATTTAAGCTTCTCGGCTGAGCCGCTGCGTGAAGATTAAAGCCAGCGGATGGGGCTTCATCACTTCATCTGGGAGGTTTAAATACGTCCAAGTTAGCTCTGCCAACCTTAAAACTGACGGGACTTTAATGATCTGTCTTTTCATTAGACTGGCTGCACGGATTAATTTCAATATTTTGATCCTTCCCAGCTGAAAACAGACTGCTGGAGATTTGTGCCAAATATATTAAAAGATAAAACTGAACATCTTCAAAAGCAGATATATAGGGCAACTTAAAGACTGTTTGAAGCATTTGGGGGGGCTGTTTCCTTAGTGTTTTAGCCCACTGGGCTAAACTGGGTCTTAAGGACTGTTTGCAAATCCCTGCAATTAAGTAATTGCACAACTCCCTCTTATTCCTTTGACTCTGTTTTCTGAAGCCTTCTGGGAAGCATTCGCGTAACCCCAGGACCCTGCAGCCATTGTAACTGTGAGGATCAGTCATAAGTCCCTGTTTTTAGTTGTTTTTTTGCAACTTTCAACGGTTAACAATAGTTGCAAGCTTTCTTTTCGGTCTCTCTCACATCCATGTTTTAAATTTTATTTGGGAAAGGCCAAAAGAAAAGAACATTTTTTTTTTTTGCAGACAAAAAAAAAACAGACATGAACTTTTTTTAAAGACCCACCTCGGAAAGACGTCAGGCTGAGTCAACCTTGAGCCGGTCAGGATCGAACTGCTGACAGTGGGCAGAATTAGCCTGCAATGCTGCATTCCAACCACTGTGACACCACGACCCTTCCTTCCTCCCTCCCTCCCTCCATCTCCACCTAACAAATAGCACCTAGACTTATATACCACTTCACAGTGCTTTCACAGCCCTCTCTAAACAGTTTACAGAGTCAGCCTCTCATTTTATATATATATATATATATATATATGAGAGTCTTCTCGTTTCTATAGCAACTCTCCCACTGGCTCCTTTTTCTATTGCCCAAAGCACCGGTGACCAAAATTAAATTTCAATTTTACACACACACACACACCCTAAAAAAAAAGAAAAGAAAAATTGAAATAAAAACGGCACGGGGTTTGCAATCACTTCCCGCCCCCTTCCTCCTCCGCCTGCTCCCGCATCGTTCAAGCATCGTCCCAGCATGTTTGAATAGAGAGGAAGCTTTGGGGTGGAGGGTTGGGCGTGGCTTCGATCACCTGGCGGGGTGGGTGGGTCAGGAGCTGGAAATCAGCATCCTCCTCCTTGGGTTTTTTTTGGGGGGGGGGGGGTTGGAAATAGCCCCCCCCTCTCCCTTCCTGGGGTCCTGTATGGACCAAAGAAACTGTCTCTGCAACGAGGTTGTAATCTGGAAATGGACCAGGGACCATCATCCCCACTTCTTTTCCTGCAATGCATCCTGTGGCATCTTGGGGGATAATTGAATTAGGTTTTTCAGGCTTTGCAGTGGGCAATTTGTTGGCATGTCACCCCCAAAAAACCCTTCCTTCCCCCCCCCCCCTTGTGATAAGCAGGAGAGCCCTGCCTCGTGTGGAAACGCTGGCTGTGTGTCCTCTGTCCAGCCCAAATCAAACGCCTTGCAAGTGAGATTTATTTCATGTCATTATTTTAATTTGATTTTTTCTCCAACCGTGGGCGGCCTCGGTGGCTGCCAAGAGAGAGAAACTTCTCCTCCAAACGCTCGAAGGGCTTGAATTGGGCTTTGGAGGCAGGACAACAGAACCCATCATCCTCCCCATCCTGGTTTCCAGCAGCCTGGCAGCTTCTCCGCGCAGGCAGCCCTTGACTTAACGACCAGGATTTCTGTCGCTAAGCGAGGTGCCGGTTAAGGCCCCCTCCCTCCTTCCCTATTTTACCACGTTTTTAAAAAATTTTTTGCCCTGTTGTGAAGAGAATCACTGCGGCCATTGAGTGAATCCCGCAGTCGCTGAGCGAATACAGCTTCTCCCATTGGCTGTCGGAAGCGACAAATGGCGCACATGGCCATCACGTGACCTGGGGGGCGTGGCCACCTTCATAAACCCAGGCGCCCAAGCACCTGAATTTTCATCATATGACCTGGTGGGTTTGCACACACACACACACACACACACACACACCCTCCCCCGAGAAAGAGGGTCTCAGCATTGAGCAAAACACAGCAATTTTTGGCTTCCAGGTTCTGTTGGCAAAATAAAGCCAAACTCTGCACATGCTCAGGAACCCTGTCTCAGGACCCAGTTCAGATTTCATTCTCCTTAAAAGATTTCTTTCTGTGTGGTCAGGTTTGGGATAGCTGCAAATGACCTCCCTTCAAATTGGTTTATTATTTGGAGAAACCTACCTTCCTTTCCCTTCCTTCCTTCCTTCCTTTTTTCTTTCTTTCTCCTTTCCTTTTTCTTTCTTTCTTTTTCTTTTTATCGTTTTTCTTTCTTTTTCTTTCTTCCTCCTTTTCTTTCTTTCTTTCTTTTTCTTTCTTCCTTTCTCTTCCTTCCTTCCTTCTTTCCTTTTTCTTTCTTTTTCTTTCTTTCTTCCTTTCTTCCTCTTTTTATTTCTTATTTGCTTGATTTCCCTTTTTCTTTCTTCTTTCTTTCTCTCTCACTTTCTTTCTCTCTCTCTCTCTCTCTCTCTCATTACATAAATGTTCAAATCCTTTTTTTTTTTTTTTTGCTTTCGTTATTAAGTCAGAATCCTGCCCCCACAGAACTGACATGTGTGCTTTCTTTTTCAGTTCTCTGGAGGGTTTTTTTTGTTTTGTTTTTACAAAAAAACATTATGCCTGCGAAGTAAGCTGTATAATAGCCCTCAAACGCAAACAATATCCCATTGATTGCCAATCAGTGAAACAATATTAATAACTTTAAAATATATAGCCACTATAATAACTGTCTTGGCTGCTGTGTGTATGCATTTTTTTGGGGGGGGGGGGGGTTGGACATTTTAAGGTTTTTAATTGCTTTACCTGTTTTAGAATTTTGCAAGCTGCCTGGAATCACTGGGCTGAGAAAGCAACCCATCCATCATTAATCAATCAATAAAATAAATACTGTTATTTGAGGAATAAGCTCAGGACTGCTCAGATACCGTTGCCCTTCGTGTGTGTATCAGGGTGCTTTCAAAGCAAGGTAGCACCTCTCACCTAGGCTAGGTAGCTTTCCTTTTTCGGCACTCTGCAGATGCTCAGAGATAGCCTGGTTTTCTTGGTTTTCTTAGTATTCCACGGTTTTGTCTTTCAGGAGAAAGGACACTTGACAGGCAGCCCAGGGGAGTGGGAGGTCTTTGACTATTATTATTATTATTATTATCATTATCATTATCATTATTATTTTTATTATTATACTTTGCAAGGCAAGGAGACAGCTTAAGCCCCTTGAGCTGGCGAGCTGGCGCTCTGCACGCGCTCAGGAGCCCCAGGCAAACCGCTTTTGTGCGCGGTTCTTCTTGTTGTGACACACACACACACACACACACACACACACACACACACACACACACACACACACACACACACACCTCTTGGGAAAGGGAGGGGGGGCTGAGTCACGTTAGCTCCCCGCCCCCTTTCCACGGCTGGATCCACGCTCCTTTCTCCCCGCCCCCCCCGCCTTCCCCTTCCCGGCCTCGGGCGCTTCTCCTCGGCTCCTCCGCCTTCCAGGTCCTCCCCTCCTCAGGCGCGATCCTGAGCCCAAGCCGGCGCTGCCACCCGCTTCTTCTCCGCCCCGGGGAGGAAGGCGGTGGGCGGCGGGGGGGAGTGGGGGGGGGGTCTCCATGGGCGCTTTTGCAAGCTGCGCCCGCGGGGCGCGCTCGTCCGCCTCCCCCCACCGAAGGAAATGGACCAGAACCGGGTGCAATTGACGGGATCCGGGTGCAATTGAGGGGATCTGGGTGCAATTGACGAGATCTGGGTGCAAATGACTAGCTGCACCTGCCAGGCTCCCGGCGGCGGGCGAGGTGGATGGAGACGCCGATCGGGGATCGCCCCAGCTCCGCCCGGAGAAGGCGAGCAGGAAGCCGGGATTATTATGGGCTTGGACAGCTGTTGAGCAGCAGCAGCAGCAGCAGCAGCAGCGAGGTGGCATCGGCGGCGCTCCCTCGGCCAGCCCTGCGGTCCTCCTCCACCTGCCGCTTCTTCTTCTTCTTCTTCTTCTCCCTCCTCTTCCTCCTCCTCCTCCTCTCCTAGCGGCTCCCCGGGGCCTGGATCGCGCGCCCCTCCACCCCACCCGCCCCCGCCCCCGCCGCCTTTCTCCTCGCCCGGCTCCTTAGAAACGATGAGCGGCAAACCATGATGCTGGAGAGCCAGGTAAGGCAGGAGCGCGGCTGGGGGACACCTGGCCAGGAGAGGGGGGAGGAGG